GTGGGGGGGGGGATGGTCCAAGCCCATACCCACCAGCCGCTCATGCAGATGGGAGGACCCACCGTGAGCACCGCGAGAGGCTGGAGCTGGTGGCCTCTTTCTCCTTCTTTGGGAACGTCATGTCCATGGCCAGTGTGCAGCTGGCAGGGGCCAAGAGGGATGCCCTGCTCCTGAGCTTCCAGGATGCCAAGGTGGGTCAGCTGGCGTGGCGGGCGAGGCGGGCAGTGGAGGGAGGGGCACCGTCCTGACCTTGTCTCCCCTCCCCACACCTCCCCAGCTGTCAGTGGTGGAATATGACCCAGGGACCCATGACCTGAAGACATTGTCCCTGCACTACTTCGAGGAACCGGAGCTGCGGGTAGGCCTGATCTGGTTCCCCTGCCCAAGCCAGCCTTGGTGTCCCCCAGCATGGGCATCCCCGGGTCAAGCTTCCCCAGCCTCATAGTCCTGGGGTCAGGCTTCCCCAGGGTCAGGCTCCCCCGGCCTCGATGTCTCCAGGATCAGGGCCCTTCCAGGATCCCCTGTCCAGCCTGGTGCCCTGTCCCCAGGACGGGTTTGTGCAGAATGTTCACAGACCACGGGTGCGAGTGGACCCCGATGGGCGCTGTGCTGTCATGCTGACCTACGGCACGCGGCTTGTGGTGCTGCCCTTCCGCAGGGAAAGCCTGGCCGAGGACCACGAGGGACTCGTGGGTGAGGGGTGAGTCCACGGGGAGCCTGCGGGGTGGGTGATACGGCTGCCTCCAGCCTGGCACCCCACCCTGACACACTGCCTCACAGGCAGCGGTCCAGTTTCCTGCCCAGCTATATCATAGACGTGCGGGCACTGGATGAGAAGCTGCTGAACATCATTGACCTGCAGTTCCTGCATGGTTACTACGAACCCACCCTGCTCATCCTGTTCGAGCCCAACCAGACCTGGCCCGGGTGAGGCGGGGCTGTGCCAGCGGGAAGGGTCGACTGGGGCTCTGGGAGCCCTGCTGACCGACTCTGTCTCCAGGAGGGTGGCCGTGCGGCAGGATACGTGTTCCATCGTGGCCATCTCACTGAACATCACACAGAAGGTCCACCCTGTCATCTGGTCACTCACTAACCTGCCCTTTGACTGCACCCAGGCCCTGGCTGTGCCCAAGCCCATAGGTGAGGGCAGCAGCACGTTGGGGCCGGAGGCACGGGGGGCGGGGGGTGGGGCGCAGCAGGAAGCCCCAAGTCTTGCCCATCCCCCGTGTCCTCTAGGTGGGGTAGTGGTGTTTGCTGTCAACTCCCTGCTGTACCTGAACCAGAGTGTACCCCCCTACGGAGTGGCCCTCAACAGCCTCACGGTGGGCACCACAGCTTTCCCACTGCGTGAGTGGACACCCTTGGGCTGATGGCAGGGTTCTGGGACACAGCAAAGGGGTGTGGCCCAGGCAGGAGTGGGGCTGTGCCGTGGCTCAGCACACCACACCCACTCGCCTTGGCCCCGTTCCCCCCCAGGCACACAGGAAGGCCTGCGGGTCACTCTGGACTGTGCTCAGGCTGCTTTCATCTCTTACGACAAGATGGTCATCTCCCTCAAGGGCGGTGAGATGTGAGTCCCTGCCCTGACCCCTGCTGGTGAGCCCTGCCCCCACCAGTGCCCCTCCAGCCTTCTCAGTGTCCGCCTCCTCCACCCAGCTACGTGCTGACCCTCATCACCGACGGCATGCGCAGCGTCCGTGCCTTCCACTTCGACAAGGCCGCTGCCAGCGTCCTTACCACCAGTGTGAGTGGGGCACGGTGGGGTGGGGCAGGTCTGGTCCTGGGCCATGGCCCAGCGTCCTTACCACCAGCGTGAGTGGGGCACGGTGGGGTGGGGCAGGTCTGGTCCTGGGCCGTGGCTGCCCTCCTCATCCCCACCACCTTCAGATGGTCACCATGGAGCCCGGGTACCTGTTTCTGGGCTCCCGACTGGGCAACTCCCTTCTGCTCAAGTACACGGAGAAGCTGCAGGAGCCCCCGGCCAGCACCGCCCGGGACACAGCCGACAAGGTGGGTGGCCCGGGGCTGGGCTGGCGGCAGCCTTGGGGCTCAGGCAGCTCACTGCCCCTCCCGTCCACAGGAAGAGCCGCCTGTGAAGAAGAAGCGGGTGGACGCTACAGCGGGCTGGTCAGGTAGAGCGGGTCGGCGGGCGGGGCAGGCGAGGGCAGGGCTGTGGTGCAAAGCCCTGAGAGGCTCTTGGTGCTGCAGGGGCCAAGTCGGCGCCTCAGGATGAAGTGGACGAGATCGAGGTCTACGGGAATGAGGCGCAGTCAGGCACGCAGCTGGCTACCTACTCCTTTGAGGTGCGGTGAGAGCCAGGCGCCGGGGTACCCCACCCGCTGGCCAGCCACCACCACTGTGACCTTGGTGTGCCCACAGGTGTGCGACAGTATCCTCAACATCGGGCCCTGTGCCAATGCTGCCATGGGCGAGCCCGCCTTCCTCTCCGAAGAGGTACCTGCTGGGATGGGCATGGCGGGGAGATGGGAGGGCGGGGTAGGGATCTCAGCCCTCACCTCCTCCCCCTGCAGTTTCAGAACAGCCCTGAGCCAGACCTGGAGATCGTGGTCTGCTCTGGCTACGGGAAGAACGGAGCTCTGTCAGTGCTGCAGGTGTGTGGAGGGCGGGCGGGCGGGCAGGCGGGGAGCACATGCTCTCAGGGCTGCAGGAGTGTGTATGGCAGGTTGGAGGGGTCCACCTGGGCTGGGCTGACTGTGCCTCAAATTTGCAGAAGAGCATCCGGCCCCAGGTGGTAACAACCTTTGAGCTACCAGGCTGCCATGACCTGTGGACAGTCATTGCCCCTGCTCGGAAGGAGGAGGTAGGCAGGCACAGTACTCAGGCTGGCGTGTCTCGCGTGTACTCTGCTTCTGCACCTGAGCCCGGGGCGTGTCCCTGCTGTGATGCTCGCCCCATCTGCCCTCTAGGATGACGGTCCCCAAGGGGAGGGCGCCGAGCAGGAGCCCAGCACCCCTGAGGCTGAAGAAGAGGGGCGGAGACACGGCTTCCTGATCCTAAGCCGGGAGGACTCCACCATGGTGCGGGCAGGGGCCTGGGGGGCAGGGTCGGGGCCTGGCCAGCTATGAGTCCTGACCTTGCCCTGCACCTGCAGGTCCTACAGACTGGCCAGGAGATCATGGAGCTAGACACCAGCGGCTTTGCCACGCAGGGCCCCACGGTGTTCGCCGGCAACATTGGGGACAACCGCTATATCGTCCAAGTGTCCCCTCTGGGCATCCGCCTGCTGGAAGGAGGTGGGTAGGCAGGGCCCAGGGAGGGGCGTGGCCCTAGACCGTGCCAACTGACCACCTGCACCCACAGTGAACCAACTGCACTTCATCCCTGTGGACCTGGGCTCCCCCATCGTGCAGTGTGCAGTGGCCGATCCCTACGTGGTCATCATGAGCGCTGAGGGCCACATCACCATGTTCCTGCTCAAGAGTGACTCGTATGGGGGCCGCCACCACCGTCTGGCCCTGCACAAACCCCCGCTACACCACGTAGGCCTGTCCCCTGGTGTCCCGATGCCCCGCCTATCTCCTCACCCTGTGCTCACCATTTTCCCCACACCCTGCCAGTGCCTGACCCTATTGCCCCCCAGTGCCCCTGGGTCCCCATCGTCCCCACCCCTGCCCATCTCCTCACCCTCCCCGGGAAGTCCCTGAGTCCTGCCTGGCCACTCCTGCCGCCCCTCTCCCCCCAGCAGCAGTCCAAGGTGATTGCCCTCTGTGTGTACCGGGATGTCAGCGGCATGTTCACCACCGAGAGCCGCCTGGGCGGGGCCCGAGATGAGCTGGGGGCCCGTGGTGGCTTGGAGGCCGAGGGCCTGGGATCTGAGACTAGGTATGTGGGTGGGGTGGGGTGGGGTGGGTGGTGTTTGGTCCCGCCCCCCGACTGCCTCTTACACCTCCCCCGTGCAGCCCCACAGTGGATGAGGAGGAGGAGATGCTCTACGGGGACTCTGGCTCCCTCTTCAGCCCCTGTAAGGAGGAGGCTCGCAAGAGCAGCCAGCCTCCCGCCGACAGAGAGCCCATACCCTTCCGCGCCGAGCCCACCCACTGGTGCCTGCTGGTGCGTGAGAACGGAGCCATGGAGGTGAGCGCACCACGCCCTGCCCACCCCACTGGCCCACCTGGCCCATGGGCAGGCGCTGGCAAACCACCCCTGCGTACCCCCTAGATCTATCAGCTCCCTGACTGGCGGCTGGTGTTCCTGGTCAAGAACTTCCCAGTGGGGCAGCGGGTGCTGGTGGACAGCTCCTTTGGACAGCCCACCTCTCAGGGCGAGGCCCGCAAGGAGGAGGTCACGCGACAGGGCGAGCTGCCTCTGGTCAAGGAGGTGTTGCTGGTGGCTCTGGGCAGCCGGCAGAGCCGACCCTACCTCCTGGTGAGCTGTGGACCCCATAACCCCCCACCACCTGTTCCTCTGCCCTGCTCCCCACCTCACTTCCATATTACCCCCCCACCAGGTGCATGTGGATCAGGAACTGCTCATCTATGAAGCCTTCCCCCATGATTCTCAGCTTGGCCAGGCCAACCTCAAAGTTCGCTTCAAGAAGGTGGTGGTAGTTGGACCCAGTCAGTGGGGTGTGGGATGGGTCACCCGGGGGTCGTGAACTGGCTGACTGGCAGGGTCAGCTGGGGTCCAGCCCTCACGCAGTCTCCCTCAGGTCCCCCACAACATCACCTTCCGTGAGAAGCGTCCAAAGCCATCTAAGAAGAAGGCAGAGGGAGGAGGGGCTGAGGAAGGGGCCACATCCCGGGCCCGCGTGGCACGCTTCCGCTATTTCGAGGACATTTACGGCTACTCAGGGGTAGGCAGGCTTGCCCAGGGAGGCCGGGCGTGGGAGAGAGGGAGGCTTGGTCGCTGCCTCACTGTGTCTGTCCCAGGTCTTCATCTGTGGCCCTTCACCTCACTGGCTCCTGGTGACTGGCCGGGGGGCCCTGCGGCTGCACCCCATGGCCATCGACGGCCCTATTGACTCTTTCGCCCCTTTCCACAACGTCAACTGCCCCCGAGGCTTCCTGTATTTCAACAGACAGGTAGGGGCACTTGCCCACCCTTACCAACACTGCCCAGTGCAAGTGCTGAAGGAGAGGCCCTAGACCAGCAGTTCTCGACCTGGGGGTCAAACGACCCTTTCACAGGGGTCGCCAGATTCATCAGAGTAGCAAAATGACAGTGATGAAGTAGCAACGAAAATAATGTTATGGTTGGGGGGTCACCACCACATGGGGAATTGTATTAAAGGGTTGTGGCACTAGGAAGGTTGAGAACCACTGTGCTAGACCCTGGGCCAGGAAGGTCGTCGTCAGGACTGGGGCCACAGAGAGCAAACCTGGCCACGGGGTCACCAGCCTGGAACTACTGCCTGGTGGGCATGGTCCTGGGGCAGTATCCAGTCCCCTGGCATGGCCACAGTCCTTTCAAAGGACAGACTGCACTGGCTTGAAGCCAGCTTGTGAGGGGCAGCTCATGCCCTTTGACCTCAGCATCCTCAACCAGATTGAAATGGGCCTTTGAGGGCGAGTCCGGGGACACAGCTATTGCAGTCTCCATGGTGACAGAGTGCCTGGCCTCATATGGTCCCCTCGGCCACATCTGTGCCGCCCTTGCCTGGGACCCCAGAACACTCCAGCCTCCATCCCTGCCCTGTCCCTGCCCCTGGGGTTCAGCATAAAGGTCTGTGTCGGGCCCGCCACCAGCCCTGCGGGCAGTATCAGGGCTCCTACCTACCCTGCTGCCCCTGTCCCCTCCAGGGTGAGCTGCGTATCAGTGTCCTGCCCGCCTACTTGTCCTACGATGCCCCGTGGCCAGTCAGGAAGGTCCCGCTGCGCTGCACTGCCCACTATGTGGCCTACCATGTGGAGTCCAAGGTCAGAAACTTGCCCCCGAGCTCCTGTCCCATGCCCGCCCTGCTCCCAGCCTGACCCTAATGCCCAGCACCTGCCCCCCGCATCCCCTGCAGGTGTATGCCGTCGCCACCAGCACCAACGCACCCTGCACCCGCATCCCTCGCATGACCGGCGAGGAGAAGGAGTTTGAAACCATTGAGAGGGGTGCGTGCCACCTGGGGCTGCCCAGCTTTACCCCACCTTCCTTCCAACCTCTTCTCACTGGGCCAGCTCCATTGCCCAGTGTCCACACACCTGACTGCCGCTTTACCTGACCCCTGCGCCCACAGATGACCGCTACATCCACCCCCAGCAGGAAGCCTTCTCCATCCAGCTCATCTCCCCGGTCAGCTGGGAGACCATCCCCAATGCCAGGTGGGCTGCAGCCCAGGTGGCGGTGGGATGAAGGGTGGGGTGGGGGGGTGCTTCCCGACTAGTCCCCTCTCCCCCAAGGATCGAGCTGGAGGAGTGGGAGCACGTGACATGCATGAAGACGGTGGCACTGCGGAGTGAGGAGACCGTGTCCGGCCTCAAAGGCTACGTGGCCGCAGGCACTTGCCTCATGCAGGGCGAGGAGGTCACCTGCCGGGGGCGGGTAAGAGTGGGAAAGGAGGGCAGGGTGGTGCCCAGGAGCCCCTCTGTCCCCCACAAGCTATAGCCCCCTACCTCCCAGATCCTGATCATGGACGTGATCGAGGTGGTGCCTGAGCCTGGCCAGCCCCTGACCAAGAACAAGTTTAAGGTCTTGTACGAGAAGGAGCAGAAGGGCCCCGTGACGGCCCTGTGCCACTGCAATGGCCACCTGGTGTCTGCCATCGGCCAGAAGGTATGGCACCCACCCATCTTCCTGTGGAGGGCTGACGGGCGTGGCCTGCCACCCACCCACTCGCACCCCCATCCCCAGATTTTCCTGTGGAGCCTGCGGGCCAGCGAGCTGACGGGCATGGCCTTCATCGACACTCAGCTCTACATCCACCAGATGATCAGCGTGAAGCACTTCATCCTGGCCGCCGACGTCATGAAAAGCATCTCGCTGCTGCGCTACCAGGAGGAGAGCAAGACCCTCAGCCTGGTGTCTCGGGTGC